GGCTATCGATTCTATTATGGTGCATCCACCCATCTCAGCCATAGGCTTTACTGTTCAGATAGAGCCTCTGTGATGCCCATGCTTCTATCAGCTGGATTATCTACGAAATACGTAGAGATGTAGATATAATAGACGAGATAAAGTGGTTTTCAATTAGGTCGAAGTAGTATAGGGCGCAAGATTTACCTACGTGTTTTATCCGCGCGTAAACGTAAGAACATTATCGGAATAAAGCAATCTTCAATTTACCCGAAGAAGTATAGGGCTAATAGTTTAATCCATGTTTTGGAGCAGAAATCTTATCAACGTGTGTCAGAATGTTATCGGAATAAAGCGATTTTCAATTTGGCTTAAGTACATTTAGTATAGTCCTTTGTCAACATGCTAATGAAGTCTCAGCCAATACAAAACAAAATTACTTTAATCGCGCGAGTCTTTCTTTTCTCGGTTTTGGCAACAAAACATTTTCTCTGAGTTCCAGCTTATATTTTTGTTTTGTTTTTACAATGATCCTAGCTGGAAAGTTGCCGATTCTACAATACAATTCCTCGCGTTTTAAATTATCGTTCTTATTATCTCGTGCATTATTATCATAATTATCAATTACGTGTTCTCGTGTGTTAGGATCACGAAGCTGTGTGTGAGTACGTTCAAGTTCCATGCGTGCATTCAGGATGTGGTGAACTGGTGACGAGATCAAGTCTGGTGGAGCATCTTGAGAAGTCGTGTCAATTCAGAATGGACAAATGTGACCACTGCCAAACTCTTATTGAGTTTGCATTTTTGGAGGTAAGAATAATTCTACTGAAATCGGTTGTTTACCCTTAAGTTGTCGTCATTTGGAACAGGATCCTTAAGTAATTTACTACTTAACGTACTTTTACACCTTCCTTTACAACAATAAATTGCTGACGCTCATTGACTCTTCGGAAATTTCTTCATGCCTCTAAGCTACTTCGGTCTCAAATCGTCACAAATCGGTGCTAGTAAAAGGTCTCATAAACATGAGATCTTTTAACCTAAATTAATGGTCTCCATTTAAAACCATAGTAGCGTGGAGAGTATGTTCAGAGCGATCTCTAGCTTAATGACTAATACATAATTCATTGTGCACAGGAACACCAAGAATCGCAGTGTCCCTCCGTCCCTGTGACTTGCACAGAATGTGGGAGAAAGGACATACCTCGTTCTCAGGTGAGTTATGCTCCGAGACGTTTTCTTCTTCCTCGTGGTCTGTTTTTACACACTCCTCAAAATAATGATTCCAGATTGAAATTTGATCTGCAACGCACGCGTAAATGTGTAAACGGGTTCTTAACAGCTAGCTCCTAAACAGTAACACTGGAATAATACGTTTGAGACTTGATGTTCACTTCTATTTTTCTTGCTCAGATGCGTGCCCATATTGATCTGGTAAATGGAGACTGTGAAGAAATGAAATCAAGTTGTCCATGGACGCAAATTGGATGCCCTGAGACTAAGGTATGCAAATGCTTGACATTACTTCAGTTAGGAGGGGATCGCGCATTAAATGGACCAACGTTGAAAAATAAATGACAATGATAGCTTTTTGCGTAAATGGTCACCACACTTAAGGAGTTGCCACTACTTTGCCTTACTTACTTGTTTGTGGGTGTCTGTGGTGGTGGCGGTGGAGGGGGGGGGGGGGGG